TCTGTATCAAGAACCAAAATGTAAAGAAATGGTTATGCTAAAACGGACTTTCTGAAAAGGGCCTGCGCGGCAGAAAGCAACAGCTCTGGGGGCCTCCTGGCGTTTGGGTGCCGCTGACGCGGTGGAGCCGCAGGACTCGCTCCTCGGCTTCGGTGTCCAGCACAGCGCACGCGCAGAGGCGCCCGGCGCAGCAGGTGCGGCTGCAGGTGCGGCTGTTTCAAGGCTCCTCCCGCCCGGCCTGCTGCTGTCTTTGAAAACAGATTTCACACTTCCTCAGCAGGCCCCTACGACGACCGAGCTTATTAATTAAGCTTCAGCCAATACTGTGCACGAGTTATGATGGGCAGAACTCTCATGAAAAAGGGGTAAGTTATAGTTTCACCCCCTTCCCCGTTACTCTAGGCCTGTGGGGGGCACAAGTGAGCCCCCCTGGTGATGACCGGACCCCTACAGCGCTGCTGGTCTGGTCACGAAACCTGACCAGACCCCAGAACACACGAATCAGTTTGGCAGAGTCCCATTAGAATGAGGCATTCTTATAACAGGTGTGTTTTTTAATGCAATTTTTCTCTGGCTCGTTGAAGGATAAGTCTGGCAAGAAGGAATCTGTTTTTGTTTTGTTTTTTTTTAAATATATCTTTACTGATTTCAGAGACAGGAAGGGAGAGGGAGAGAAATAGAAGCATCAATGATCAGAGTCATTGATCGGCTGCCTCCTGCACGCCCCTGCTGGGATGGAGCCCGCAACCCCCGCTTGTGTCCTGACCGGGAACCTAACGGCGATCTCCTGGATCCCAGGTCAGTGCTCAACCGCTGAGCCACGCCAGCCGGGCAGAAGGAACCTGTTTCACTGGACTTTCTGGTCTATTCGGGCTCCCTTATTCTAACATTAAAACTAGTGCTCGCTGCATCTGGAGCCTACAAACTCATTTAAATGAGTCATTCCTGAAGCACCTGTAGCCCTGGAAAACGACGCTGCGGCTGCTGCGGCCGGGAAGACGCAGCTCAGCTTTACCCTTCAGGCCGATGGGATCAGAATCCTGTCACAGGCAGTGGCCGCGCCCCCTCTGCTCTGCTTGCCGGGCGCCTGCCATGCCGTTTGCCTCCACCTGCTATTGGGACGCATGTGTATTCTCCAGTCCACCTGCTAATTCAGAACTGCATGTTTCATACTTGCAAGATCAATGCAATTAGCGCTTGAAAAGTAATCTCCTGGCTGCTCCTGCCACTGGCTGGCTGGCTTGTTTTAATTATGACAGAATACCTTTGCTCATACAGAAATGAGAGGACACCAAGACAGTTTGTGCCCACACCCAGAGCCCTCACTTAAGGTTATAATTTCCCCCAAACTGAGAGGTCTTCTTAATTGCATGTCTTCAAGGCACTGAGTTGTCTTGACAAGCTTAAAATACCTACAAATGACTGAATAGCCAGGATAACAGTAACTTTAAAATACATGTGCAATAACATTTTGCAGTTTCCAGAAAGCTTGGCCTTGCTACTGAACCTCTTGCTGCAGGGAGAATACTCTTACTAATCCTCATTGTACAGATGAGGGAAACTGAGGCACAAAGAAGTTAAAATACTCAGGTTCTCACGGCCAGTAAATGGCAGACTGGGGGCTTCATCCTAGGTTCTCTGCCCTGACCTTCTCTGGTGTTTTCAGTAGAATAAGAATTTTATTACATAAAATTTTGCTGTCCGAATCTTTCTCCTTTCTGTCTGGTTGAACTGGTTCAAGTTCAGTTTCACCACAACCGTTGCTGCTCCTCTTTACCAGCACAGTCATCTTCCCTAACCCCGCAGGGTGTCTAACTCTGGTTACTTCAGAGCTTTAAGATAGTCTGCTTGTTCATTGCAGCAACTATTTCTGTCAATCTTTGTTTACATGGAAGAGCTGAACATTCTCACAAACTACAGCAACCACTCTTTGAGGAAAGAATCCGATAGCACCTCTGAATGCTCCCCCTTAAAAATGCAGAGGGGCCTATACTTATATCTAAGGATACATCAGTATCACCACCACCACCCATATGCATACACATACACTCAGGGTAACACCTAAGTCTCCTGTGGCCACTGCACTTTCTTCAGAGCCTATAATCACCAACTGACTCTTGCTCTTTTCACTTATTTCATGCCACTCTCTTTGGCACATCAATTCTGTATATAACAAGGTGGTTTACGGAGTCAGCTGCTGGCATCCCTTTAAGAGGTGGGAATACAGTATAAAAGTGAGGGAGCCAGGGGTCCCACAGATTCTCTTGCTCGACTTACACCTAAACTTTTGAAAAATGAAAGAATTTAACAGCTATAATGAAGCTATCTATATATTTGTTAGATATATCCTGGCTTCATGAAAACAAATCTTAATCCAAGACCTCCCATGGTGGGAAAAAATGCAGATCTGAGACAAAGAAATGAAAGAGGGGCAGGATGAGAGAGAGAGAGAGAGAAGGTCAGGAAAAGGAAAGCTGTAGAGCCGGGAGATGTGGACTTGAGCTTATTATCTGGCCAAAAGGAAAATTCTTTCAAGTCTGGAGAGTTTCTAAACTCTAAATTTGAAAAAGAACTTAAACCGAGTAGTTTGAAGCAATATCCTTTCATTTATATTAATAACACAGAGTGAAAATTAGTTATATAATTTAATGCTTTCCTCAGTAATATGAAGAAACCAGAGAATTCTATAACTAGAATGAATTCAGTCTTCAACTGACATGAAAGAAAAAAAAAAAAGATATTTTTTATTGATTCTTTTAAGCTGTTTTAAATTAAACTACATTAGACAGTCAATAATGTAGAAAGCTGCTTAATAATATAGAGAAAGCAAGAACAGAAGGGAAGTAAATTGTGGCATTAAAAATAGAAATGTTCATGATAGAAAACATTTTAAAACGCTTTCTTATTTTTTGAGAAATAATTTTTAACCCTATTAAATTTAAGCATCCCCAATTGTCCACCAAATGCCCCTTCCCATAAGTTTTCCAAAACCCAACCCAGTCGAGGATCTCACACGGCGTCTGGTTTTCAGCACAGTTACCCTTTCTATTCCCCTCGCCCCCACATTTCTGCATGCTCCTTACTTGTTGAAAAGTTCTCTCTTTGGACAAAGACATCACTTTAAAAATAAAGTATTAAATTTGAATGCAAGGAAAGTATCTTAAAAACCTTACTTACCAAGAGAGAATGGGGACGCCCATTGTGTGCAAAAGCCTCGGAGAAGAAATCGGTGCTGTGGTCCAACCTCTGGTGTCCTCCATACTCGGCCACATCTGAGTCGAGCACAATCTTGAACGTACAGTGCTTAAGGAATCAGACTGGTTCAGGAGTTGAGTGAGACACTGTCAACTATGTCCTCGGACAGCAACACCGTGAAACCCTAACGTGGGCTCCTCACTCTTGTAGGATTTCAGAGATTCTCGTGTTTGGAAGGGGCTTCGTAGGGAGGTGCCCAGTCCACAGCCTGGTGGGATCCCGGTTATCCCTCTACCGCGGCTCCTCTCCTGACCATCCAGCCCGGGCCTGAGTGTCCCACTCATGGGGAGTCTGCATCTCTCTTAATGCAGCCCATTTCACAGGTCAGAAACTCTCCACTGTGAACAGCAGTTTGACTGCTTGGGATTATTTCTACCCGGAAAATACATAAGGAGTAAGTTCAAAATACAATAACCTTCAAATATTTAATAATAGTTATGTTATATCCATGTGTTCTCTACATATGTTAGTAACTACGTATTAAATATAACCTCAGAAGCCTGGATCATTCCTCATGTGATACTTTTTATTCCTTCCCCATCTCTGAATCCCATCCAGTTTTCTAGATCCCGGTTATCAAAGAGAGGAGCACAGCAGTGAACCAAGTGTCCACGTGTGGCCTGAAGAGTGCAGGCCAAGCAGGCTTCTCCTCCCAGTGGTCACAGGCATCACGCTATTAACACACAGGGTCATGTAAAATACTACCCATCATGCCACAGGAAGACTCAGGTTGCAACCGTGATCTTGCCACAATTTAACAACTGATTCTTCACTGAGTTATCAGACATGTTAGCATTATCCTATTTACAATAAAGGAAAAGCTATGGTCATGTTCAAATTTATTATGCTCAATATTATCTAGACTTGGTACTTTGATACAAAACTCCACAAGAAAATATAAGAGGTACTTAGAAATCTTAAATTTCTTTTTGTTAATTGAGCATGTTGGGGTGACACTGGTTAATAATTTATAGGTTTCAAGTGTACAATTCTATAATACATCATCTGTGTATTGTACTGTGTGTTCACCACCCAAAGTCAAGTCTCCTCCCATCACCATTTATTCCCCCTTCTACCTCCCCCCACCCTTTCCTTCTGGTAATCACCATGCTGTTGTGTCTGTGAGTTTGTTTTTGTTTTGTTTTGCTTAATCCTGTCACCTTTTTTCACCCAGCCCCACAACACCCCTCCACTCTGACATCTGTCAGTCTTTTCTCCGTATCTATGAGTCTGTTTTTATTTTGTTGGTTGGTTTATTTTGTCCCTTAGATTCCACATACAAGTGAAATCATATGGTACTTGCCTTTCTCTGACTGGCTTATTTCCCTTAGCATAATACCAGTACTCTCCAGGTCTACCCATGCTGAGAAATCTTAAATTTCTTTAGCCTAAGGAGGGATACAGATAGGTTTAAGTATTTTGTGTTTTCTTTTTTCTAGTATACAAATCTTTGCATCTTTTTATTATAGCAAAAATTATCACATTAAAAGTACATGTAGGTAACAAACAATGACCATTGTTTTCATGCTTTAGGGAACCCTGTCTGGGTTGGAGATTCAGAGGGACCTCCTTAAGAGGCACTTTAGCTGGGTGTGGTGGCTCCAGTTCAGTCAATCCAGGTCAGCCTACTCTGATTCAAATTCAAACTGATAATCAACCACATTAGTGTGTTTAAAAGATAGAGAAACTAAGAGAGAAGAGAGGAGGGTGGAGAGAGGGGAAAAAGACTGAGATTCAAAAGATGACTACTGGGCACAGGCACATTCTAGTCACTAAATATAGCTGGAAATAATTGAACACACCAATTTGTTTAGTGGTAAAATACAGATGGTGAAAATAAGTAACTGGAAACACAGTAAATAAATGAAGCATTGTGGAATGAAAGGAACTATTAAAACAAGTTTAGCTTTTGTTCTTCATCCTAGTTAACTAAATACTTACATAAATCTTCAAAAAGCAAAAATATAACCATTACTGGTTAACATCACAGATTATTGGTAGCAGTGTCTCAAGAAAGCCAGTGTATCATCAAAAGCAGTGGATCCCAACCTTTTGATGACAATCACTGGTAGTTGTGTTATTATAAGGACCTCACTGAATTGGGGACTATGTTATGATAAGGGAGTGGGAATCTCCACGAGCATTAGGAATTGTCTGAAGGCTAAATTATGCCATTAATACAGTTGGTACTATATTTCAAATAATGTAAATTTTTTTATTAATAAAATATAGATTCATTAAAAAGACAGAATTTATAGTAAGTTTTTGCCTATAAAGTCTCTCAATCAAGGAGTGAGAAACTGTTCTTTCAGAACAATTGTTATATAAGGATCCATTTCTTTTTGACATTGAAAGGGATCATCATACTTAAAATGGTTAGAATCTATTCACTTAATATATATAATTTGTAGCTATAAAGGAAAAGCTTACAAAACCCATAATGCAAGTTTTAAAACATCAGTTTAGACCTATTTCTCTGATCTATAATTTGAAGGAGAAATTCTGTTGTGTGTGGCCACTTCTGGAAATACCCAGCCCTCTATCTATATTACCTAGGAACAGAATAACTTCCTTTAGAAAATGCAACCATTAAACTCCAGAAAGTCCAATGATTTAAAACACTAACTAAAAGTAGTGACTGTGAAAGAGCCTTATAATTATAAATTACGACCACATATCACTCAAGTATCAGGAAAACCCCATCTTTCAGGAACACTGCTTGAAACAAAATTTTTAAATAGGCAATTTGAGCAACTGGATATTCTGTTCCTGTTCTCTCCCTCAGGCAGCCTGTCACTCCCCCTTAACAGCATGTGTGGTGCGTGCGCCCGGGCACACACACGCACACACACACGACATGGGACCCACACAGCACCAAAACCCCTTTAGACCCCAGTCTTCCGCTAAAAAAAATCTCTGAAAATGTAACTGGGAACTAATTCACACTTATTTACACTAGCTCCTTTATATGGTTTCCAAGTCCAGAGTAGACAGAATAAATTTAGCAGGACTCCTCAACATGCCCTTTTGCTCACACCGCCTCCCTATACCTAGCAGAGTGCCTCTCATCACAGGTTCTGAGCACACCTCTGAAACGGATATTCGGGATGACAATTCTGATTCATCAAGAAAGCTAAAATTACATAACTTTTTAATATCACAGTAAAGTAGAAGAAACTATCTTTACTCCCCCTTCACTTACTAAATAACACAATGTGTAAGGAAGGCACTCTGCGTGATTTTTAAAAAATGACTTAGACATGGCTTTAGTTTACATGCAACTTACAGCCTATAAGGAGAGATGAAACATGCAAGAATGTCTATAAATAAAGCAGGAAGCAATATTCAGTGAGAGGAAGAACCAAGAGAAAAGGTAGGATTGATAGTCTGTATATAAAAAAGTTTTGAAGGTTGAGCTGGGCAGTTAAGATTTACTTTGGTAATTAAGTGTGACAATGTTGAAGATTTGTGAGAAAGGTTATGACAACCAAGAAAATTAACCTGGAGGTCAGGGGTAGAATAGAACAGACAAGGGAAATACTAAGGCAGAGAAACCAGTCCGGAGTCTAACCATGGTCAACGGAGAGTAATATGGCTAAACTCAGATAGTGCAAGTGGAGAGACACAGATACATCGGTGAGATTTTAGATGTACAACTGACTGTACTCAGGTGGTAAGGAAACTGATGCTCAATTTGGGAAAACCGAAGTGGAAAAAGGGAATTTCTGTGTCCAAAGATACACAACCAGTTTAGTGGCCAAGCTGGTACATACACCCAAGTCAAATGTAGACCTGACTACCCTACTCTCTACAAGAGAGAACCTGTTTTATGCTGAGAATCAGTGTTTTCATAGGAAGTTTCTTGTTTAATCCTAGAGTTAAGATCTAAGAATAAAGAGGCCAGAATGAACATGACACGGTAATAAAAATAAGAAAAGCAGATAAAGTGATACTCATCTAAATGATTAATCAAATGATATTTAAAAGATTGGCATTAAAGAACGAATCCTTCACATTCCTATGGAGTCTGTCTATGAAGTTTACTGTATTTGCTCCAGATCATTTCTTGTTCATTAGGCTCATTTGATCATTTTATTGCTGAGTACAAAATATTGAACCAAAAATTTACCTTGCTCAATTTGGTAAAATAGAGTAGGAAAAGAATGAGAGAATTATCATGGAGATTTTTTTTTAAAAGGAGAGCAAATAGGTCCCCATCCATTTGAACGTCATTTTAAAATATTATGATTTCTTCTTATTTTAAATTCAAGAACTTCCTAAGTATTTGATATATCTATCAACAGGTTGAAGTAGGTAAGACGTTTTAAGCGTTATTTTATAATCTACATCCTTAAATCTGAACCAAGGAAGAGCCATGTTCTGAAGACCTGCACTAATAAGAGTAAAGAGCAGTGAAAGCATGAAGGCTCTCAAATTCAATGGCTCTTCAAATACTTCAAAAGCTGCTGTGTTTGCTCAGCCACTTGATAAAGTGTCTGCTCAAAGTGTAAGGATTTTGATGTAAGAAGTACTATCATTTATATCATTCTGCACTAAACTCACTTCACTCCCGCTGATGAAGCTAAGAACATTTATTACAAGGTAATCCCTGAGGCTTCAAACTGAGAGACAATGAAAGGGATTCTCTGGTGACTAAGATGACCATACGGTGGCAAAGCTGGTAAGTTCCATGTATCTTTAGATCTAAGACATCGCTGGTTTTAAGATGAAGTTTGTATATAAATCCAATAAAAAGAAAAAAATCATTTTCATGGCAATCATTGTAAGATAAATCCCAATTAAAGACACGTTAAAAAAAAAGTACACCTGAGAATCTATGAATAAAAAATTGGTGAATAAAAAAATACTGATCCAAAATATTAATCTTACTCAATTTGGAAAAATATAGTAGGGGAAAAAAAGATGAAAGTGGTTATGGAGATTTTTTCCAAAAGGAGATGAAATAGATTTCTACCCATTTGGATTATCATTTAAAGCTATTTAAATATTTAGAAACAAACAAGAAACCAAGGTCATGTA